CAATATATACAAATAATGAATCATTACGCTGTACACCTGAAACTAATGTTATATGTCAGTTATATCTCAATTAAAAACATTGAAAATCTACAGGTCAGTCTAAGAATAGTATTTTTGAAAACTGGTTAAGTGGCAATAAAATACTTGTCAATTCCATATTCTTTCTTTTTTTGCTTCATGAATGTATTAAAAATTCATAAAAACTCAAACGGCCAGCATAATGCAAATACTGGCAGACAATTGGCTACCTCAAAGTATTTTTATTACTGGATGAAATACTTATTGATTGATTAATTAACTACTGATTACCTACTTTATTGACCAAAAAACTGTCATTTCTATTAAAATAAGATTTTGCTGTGTTTCAAAAATTAACTTAATGCCAATATTTTATGCCAAAACCATTCTACAATTAGAATGGTTTGTAAAAATTATTTTAAAATGACTTCCATTAAGTTTTTATTAATAGTCCTTGGTAAGAATGACCAGAACTAGCTAACCTCTGATACCACACTTAACTAGTCTTTGGTGAAAAACAACTAGCGTCTTAAAGACAAAAAAAAAAAATGTAGTATACTTCATGCAAAAATATTATTGTTTTGATTATTTCTTTACTGTTTTAAATTTCATTCCAGAAAAATTGTTGCTGAGGACTTGAAGTAAAAATGATAGAAGTTGACAAATTGAAGTCAATCTTAAAAATATTTCCAAAGCTACTTTAGTCACTACACAAAATGCACCAAAACAACACATTATCATCAAACTCTTTCTTTTAAAATTTATTGAGGTATCTGTGTTTATCTTTAATCTGTATCTTCAAATACCCCATATCTTACTAACTATACCTAACTACCATTTGAGAAGGAAAAAAAATTCTCGGATTCTTTAACTAGCTTCATTTAGCCATCTTTTTCCTCATCGTGACATTCTCATTTTTAAAGAAGAAAAGCAGAGGTTGCACAATCTTACCCAGACATATAATCCTTTCAGAAATGCATTTGATAGAGCTATGCTGTAAGATGCTTCTGCTCTTCTGTTGTTCCTACTTAAACTGTAGTAACATTGCCTGCTCTTGTCAGCTTTTATATATTCTCATCCCATAAGGTCAGTACTTCAAGGAAATATGCAGAAGGCAATGCCTTTGCAGGACAAGTTGGACAAATACCTATGACTATATGACACAACTAAGCTGGCCCCCTAAGAGAAACTTAAGCTGAGAGAAACTACACCCATGAATATCAGTGGGCACAATTTGCAGGTCCAATAAATAGTCAAGAATGGGAGTGGAGGAGGGGGGATCGGCAAATATGAAGAAGCAAGAAAGGGAACAAGAAGAAGGAGAAATGATAGCATCAGATGCAAATAGAAAGGCATGGCCAATGTCAACAACAAAACCTCAAATTAAGGGAGTAGTTCTGTAGAAAATCATTCATAAATTCCAATTGTCACCATTTAAATAATATGGAAAAGGTTTTCCTGATTTTAAAGTGTGTTATTTGCAGATGGGAGAAAGCTGGAGAAGTGTCTAGAGAGCTTTGGGAAAAAGCTGGAAAACAAGGACTGCTCGGTATCAACACTGAAGAGCATCATGGTGGCGTCGGTGGGGACTTGTACTCAGCAGCCGTTGTCTGGGAGGAGCAGTAAGTATGGGGACTTTTGAAGTTGAATTTTGTCTTTTTATAAAGATTGAAATGCGTTCTAGTCTTTTTATAAGATTGAAAATTCAATGCAAAATGTTAAAGCTTATACCACTCATATACTCTTGTACATTTTTTAATTGTGAGAAGAAAAGAAAATCTCCTTCTAAGTTGTTTAAATAGATGCCGTTGAAAATTAAAGAGATATTTTCATTTCTAATTGACCCATTTGGTTATTTTCTCTCTTTTAAAAAGATATTTGAAAGAGAACAGAACAGTGGAAATATATTTCCATGTTATACTAAAAGTTTAAATTATAAGAACAAATGAAGATTTCAGTTGACGAATGGGCAAAAGATTTGAACCAACAATTCAGCAAAAAAGAAATGCAAATAGTTTTTTTTAGATGAAAAAGCTTATCCTTCTACCAATCAAATGCAAATTAAATTAACCTGGGGATATCATTTTGAGTATTTATAAAAGTTAGTGAAAACAAAAAACTATAATACCCAGTGCTGACAAGGTTGCAGTGAAAGTGACATACTCATATACTCTTGGTGACATTATGTAATAAAACAATAAATGCTTTGGGATTAAAAATGTGGATACATATGAAAAATGAAAATATTTTTTTCTTTTTGATTTAGGATGCCACTTTGGGGAATTTATTTTAAGGAAATAATTTAATAGAAAAAATAGCAGCTATGTAGAGAAATGATTATCATGTTAGATCATAATCCCCCAAATTTGGAAGCAATCTAAATGTCTGGCAGGGGAAGAATGAATAAGTAAATTATAGTACATGAGCAATTTGTAATATTTTGCAGCTGTATGAGATTATGACAACAATGTAAAAAAATAGAATTTTTTCATGTCATATAATTTAAAAAGAAGACAGTTAAATGCAAAATTCATATCATGTCTGCAGATATATTAGAATATGTCCGTCTGGTAAAGATATTTTCATTTTGCCAAAATGAAAGTAGTTGCTGTGTTAGGATAATACAGTTGTACATGATTAATATTTTTCAATGTTTTATTTTTTCATTCATTAAATAAATGTTCATCAAGCTCTATTAGAGTACTGCTATCATCTTAGTGCCAGAAACTAAAAGAATAGTAAAAAGTAAGAGAGAAAACCTTTAAGAACTTTATAGATTTGGGGAAAAACAGGCTATTATATAACACAATAAGACCTTTAACATTTTGGGGTGTTTTTTTTTAATTGAAAAGCGAAGAAATTAAAACCAGAACAATATAATTATTTTGTGCTTTAAATTTTCTTCTTTTTTTCTAAGATCATATTCAAATTGTACAGGCCCAGGGTTCAGTATTCATTCAAATATTGTAATGCCCTACATTACGAGCTATGGCTCAGAAGAACAAATTAAGCGCTTCATCCCCCAGATGACTGCAGGGAAATGTATCGGCGCTATAGCAATGACAGAGCCCAGTTCTGGAAGGTAAATGAACGTTCCATTGGTTTTGAAATGTCAGAAGCAGTGCTCTAAGAGCAAATATTTTCCCTGTGCTTATTTTATGCAAAACTGTGAGCAAAATGCCAGGAGGAATACAAAGATGCACACAGCATAATTCACATTCTCAAGTAACTTCAGACTCCAGGTGGAAAATAAGGCCTTCTATACAGATAGCAATAAAATAAGTTGTAATGTCGGCTATGTTTGAGATTCTTACTGTAGTGTAATGCAAAGAAAATGGAAGGTAGGATATGAGTTGAATTTTGGGCATGATGAGTTTTAGATGTGGTGTGACATTCACAGGCTGTTACAAGAGCAGATGTGGAACTCTGAAGACAGGCTGGAGTGGCAATAGGTTTTAAAAGCCATTTATGAAAATGAATGTGTTTATTTATTTAGTCATTTGACGGTAAGTGCCTTAGTAAGTGCCTTCAGTGTGCCATGTATACAGTGGTGAACAATACAGATGCGGCCTTTGTCCTCACTGAGGAAAATGACAAGAAACAAACAGATATAGTCACAATTATAAATTATGATAAGTACTACCCTGTTTCCCCAAAAATAAGACCTAGCTGGAAAATAAGCCCTCGCATGATTTTAGGTGCCAAAATATGGCACCTTGGCATACTGAATATTTTAAGCTGAAAGAGTTTGTGGGAAAGGCACCCTTCTCCCTGAAACTCATCATAAAACCCTCATGTGAGAGGTGCGTGCCCTCCATATCCTGGAGGAATATACTACGGCTTCTTCTCCGGTTAGGTCTTATTTTCGGGAAAACATGGTATGAAGGAAACAAGGTGCTATGCTGGAGATTAATGGTACATGTGGGTTTGGTAGGGAAGGAAAAAATGAATTTAAATATGAGTGCTAGAGAGACCTATAAAAACGGGTTACATTTAAACTGAGATCTGATGAATGAGAAAGAACCAGTTATTTGATTGAGGTGAAGAGCTTCCACGTGGTAGAACCTGATCCTAGCGGTAAAGTGAAAGGATGAAAAGCAGACCAAGGAGAGAGCTTGGGTATGATGTTTCATTTGAAACCATACAAAAAATATGGCAACAGAGACAGCAGGATTGAGTTTGAAGGAAATCCAGATGACTGTTACGTCGTGAGCACAGAGGGAAGTGAGTTCGAGTAGGCTATAGAATAGGAGCAAAGAGTTAATACTGTCAAAGCCAAAAAGACGTCGAGCATTGAGAAAAGGTCAGGGCAGGCTGCTGGTGACCTTTTGATTGTGATTTCAGTAGAGAAAAGGGGCAGAAGTTACTTTAGAAGGGGGTGATACAGGTATTGAGAACACAGGCTGAGAATACAGATGAATATTTTTCAGAGTTGGGGATGAAAGAGTATAGAGATGGGGCACGAGAAGGGAAATGGCTTATATTAAGGAGAGCAGTGACTTAGAAGCTAATGGGAAACAGGTAATGCAGAGGAAAACTTAAAGATGCAGCAGAGCAGAATTGAAAATCTAAGACTCGTTTCTGCAAAGATCAGGCCCCAATGTTTTAAATTGTCTTTTCTGATATGTCTTAATATGTCCTCGTGTCACTTGGTAATATGCTTAAGTTGTATTTCTCTTTCCCAGATACAAATCTATAATTACAAGCCAATACTGATATTTAATTTTGCCAAAATAAAAGGTGTTTGCTTTTTTTCTGTTGCCTAAAACGGTGAACCTCAAAGAGGCAGGGATTTAATCTTCTTCGTTTGCTTTTAAGATCATTCTCTAAAATAACTGGCTGACTGCCCAGTGTCAGACTAGCTCTGTGATCAACATGTTCCAGTTCTAACCCAATACATGCTAGCTCTGTCCTACAGGCAACAGAATAAATGAGAGATCTTGATTTTATCTTCAGCTTAATACAGGCAAACAAAAGTTCGCTTGATTTTTGTTTATTTATATCCTCTGTCCTCATCTGCAGTGATGTACATGTAATTATGAAGGAAGCTGAGAATAAAAGAATGGCGAGAAAAGAGGCAGATTTCTTTGAAGTTTGGTGAGGGCCGTGGAAAGAGCCAATCAGTTTGATATTTGGAAACAAGCAAAGGGGCCATGTGGGTAAAAGAATGCAAGAATGGAGAAAAGCTGCATGTGAAGATTAGGGTGTTGAGGAATTACGGTGAGAAATACAGAAAAATCACGTGGGAAGGAAGGAAGGAAGAAGATGGGACATGCTTCATTTCATCTGCTTTCAGAGATGGCGTGCCACTCTCCATTTTCTTACTTTGATTTGACCTTCACAGAAAAAAGGTTGAGTTAGCTAGAAAACATCCAGGCCTTCCCTGGCCTTTTCTCCTTCCACACACATAGGAGACTCCATTATGTATAATTATGTACAAGGTGTAATTAAAACATGGTGAATGTTTACATAAAAATAATTTATTCCAGTAAAAGACACGTTCCTAATAATCCCCTTCAAAATACTCCCCCTTGCTTCGAACACACTTATTCCATCGTTCGTGCCACTTTCTGAAGCAGCTCTGGAAGTCCTCTTTCCTGGATGTCTTTAGTTGCGCTGTCGTGGCTGCCTGGACGTCCTGCATCGATTCAAAACGTTTACCTTTCATGGTCATTTTGACTTTGGGGAAGAGCCAGAAGTCCCATGGTGCTAGATCTGGTGAATAAGATGGATGAGGACACACTGTAATGTTTTTATTTGACAGAAATTGCCGTACAGGAGCGATGTGTGACAGAGCATTGTGATGATGGAAGATGAAGTAAAGACACACACAAAAGAGGACTTCCAGAACTGCTTCAGAAAGTGGCAAGAACGATGGGATAAGTGTGTTCAAAGCGGGAGGGGGGGAGGGGCATTTTGAGGGGGATTAATGGCAATGTGTCTTTTAATGTAATAATTTTTTTTTATTTAAACATTCACTGTATTTTTCAATCACACCTCATATATTTGTATGATACCTTAACATTTTATATGCTTTCGTGTTGATTTTCTTCTTTGGCTATCATAATAACTTATATGAAATATAGAGATATTGTGATCCTTATTTAAATAGAATCCATTCCTTGCCTCTTCCATCTCCTGGTAGCTGATGGCATTGCTTGTCTTGTGGCCTCATCACTCCAATTTCTGTCTCTGTGGTCACACTGCCCCCATCCCCACCCCTTCTATCTGTGGAATCTCCCTCTGCCTCTCTCTTATAAGAACTGTTGTGATTGCATTTTGGGCCCATCCAGATAATCGAAAATAATTTCCCCATCTCAAGTTCCACATCTGCAAACCTTTTTTTCCATATAAGGTAACACAGATTCCAGAGGTTGGAACCTGCTATCTTTGAAGGTCATTAGTCACTGAAGGAGATTTTGAACTGGAAGCTACCTAAATGTTCAACAATAGGAGATTGTTTAAAAAAATCATGATTAATCCATGATGAAATTCTGTGTTGCTAATAAAACATATCTTAGAGAAAACCATTGTGTATTATTAAGAGATCGAAATCATATGTATGGTTCCAATTTTATAAAAATGCATAAATGTGTGTATCTGTTTCCATAGAGAAACACTGGAAGAATGTGTTTTTTAGATGTTCATTCTAGGATGTAAAATTATTTATTAAATCATTTTTCTTTTTGGTCTAGAATATTGCCTGTATTTTTATATTCTGGTTATGAATATTTGTTTATCTTATAAAAATATAAATTATTTTATATTTAGAAAAATAATCTACTTTGAGAGGAGGCTTGTTACCGGAAGTGGCATTTGAAACACAGTCTTTCAGATAGCTAAGCTTTTGATCAATAAAGATGGGGGGGTCGGCCGGGTGGCACAGTTGGTTAAGAGCGCAAGCTCTGAGCAACAGTGTCACTGGTTTGATTCCCACATGGGCCAGTGAACTGCACCTGAGCTGAGCTGAGCTGCCAGATGGCTCAGCCTGTGAGAGCACATGCTCTTAAAACAAGGTTGCCAATTCGACATGGGATGGTGGGCTGTGCCCTCCCCTCACAACTAGATTGAAAGTGGCGACTGGACGTGGAGCTGAGCTTGCGCCCTCCACAGCTAAGATTGAAGGACAACAACTTGACTTGGAGCTAATGGGTCCTGGAAAAACATAATGTTCCTCTTCCTCAATTCCCCAATAAAATCTTTTTAAAAAATAATAAAATTAAATTAAAAAGATAAGGGAAGCAACAAAAGTGAATGGAGACAGGCAAGTTCAATGTGATAAAAAACCTCAGGGATATAATAGACCTTGAAAAGTCATCTGAGTCCAGTTGGAGGGTCTTGAAGTCTAGTTGGGCTTTGTTATACTCTATAAAATCTGGCTAGTTTATGTAATCTTGTTTGTTTGTTTTTTGGTTTTTTTTTTTAGCTGAACCATCCTGCCACCTGTTGGCAGCTCAGCGACAGCTCAGCTTGGGCTGGGAATCGAACTGCTGTTGCTCAGAGCTTGAACTCTTGAGTGAGCTCTTAACCAACTGAGCCACTCAGCCAGCCAGTTTATGTAATCTTATATCATATATTCATTTGTACAAATAATTTAGAATATAGTACATCAGACATGATTTTTTTAGTGTATTTGTGTTAACATTCCTAATATTTGTTAAAGATCCATTTTTATAATGGTGTTACCAGTTTGAATTATCATTATATACATACTTACATAACAACATTTGCATGATTCAATTTTTACCAATTAATGAAATTTTCATCCTTTTTTTCAACTACAGTGATTTGAAAGGAATACGAACAAATGCCAAAAAGGATGGAAGTGACTGGATTCTAAATGGAAGCAAGGTGTGTAAAGAGGGGTTTCCACTACCCTTCTCTCTAGAGTCGCGACATGGGTCACAGTGTCTCAAAGACTACCTATTATTGATTGTGTCAGACCTAGGGACTCACACACGAACTGAGTTATTTGAGTTCACACAGGAATTGAGTTGTTTTGTTTTGGAGACAGTACAAATTTTGCAACATTTATATTACATGATATCTGTTCCTCTTCTTTGTTCCATTTTGCATGCCTCCTCACTAATATGGAAAATGTTGTGTTGGGGGTGAGTGGTTAGCTCAGTTGGTTAGAGCGTGGTGCTGATAACACCAAGGTTGCCAGTTCGATTCCCACATGGACCACTGTGAGCTGTGCCCTCCTTAAAAGAGTCAACTATGCCATTGTAGCATGAAAGCAATGTGTAACCAATGACCATGGCTGTTCCCCAATAAAAAAATTAGAAAGAAAATGTTTTAAATTTCAAACAGCCCTTATCAAACCAGAAGAGGGGAAGGTAAAGCTCACGTTGTCCAAATATAGGACAAATAATAGTTAATAAATTTGAAGTTGATGAGAAACTGGGGGAAATGCTTTCTTGTAAATATCAAGAAGAGTTTCAAAAGATCTTAGGAGAGAAAGAAATCTTTCATAGAATTTGAGAGGTCTTCAGTCTTCTGAGAGTCACACCAACCCACTGATAAAATTGGAAAGCTTCTCCAATTAAGATTATTACAGACAGGCTCAGAAGTAAGTATATCCCTTAAAATCTAATACCACTGATGGCAGAGGATTTGGGGTTTTTTTTTTTCTTTTTTTTCCCTAACACTGTCTGGTATACACTCAGTAAATATTTACTGTTGGCTGTTAAGAAAGGATGCTCGGGCCGGCCGAGTGGCACGATGGTTAAGAACTCGCTTGGGACGCCAGAGGGCCCCGGTTCGGATCCCACATGTGAGGGCCAGTGACACTGCCCTCCACAGCTAAGATGCTGAACAACAGCTCAACCTGGAGC